AAGTGGGGTGGACAATAACAAGTCTGTTGTTATTTCAGGTCTAATATTAACTTGGTAAAATTTACAGCCTTTTTTTATCTTTAGAGCTAATCACTAATCATTGTAGCTAAACGTATTTTACTTAGTGCTAAGCGTTAATTGTAATCACTAATTGTTAAGCGTTAAGTATTAATTGCTAATTGCTAATCACTAAGCATAATCGCTAATCGCTAAGCGTAATTGTTAATCACTAATCACTAAGTGTAATTGCTAATCACTAATCATAATCACTAATCATAAATTGTTAAGCATTAAGCATTAAGGCTAATTGTTATATGTCTTTTAAATTCTTCTCTAAGATAAATATAATAATAACTAAAGTAAATTTATTTGCTGCAGTGGTGATATATCGCATTGTTAGCGGAGCTTAAAATATTAATAATTGTGCAATGATGATCATGACAGGGTAAAATAAACAATTATAAAAGGTAAAACAATGGGAAAACTACTCTTTTAGTCATCTTAGTTTAATAACTTTTTACATAAAGCAAACAAAAATCTTCATACAATATACATAAAGGTCTTGGACAAGAGAGCAAATAATCGAACACGTGTTTCAGTTGAAGTCACTTGTTTTTGCACGCCTTCATTTGTTATATATCAAATATTGAACCCTATATTTTTTTCTATACTTACCAGTAATGAAATATCAGTATAATACCGGCTTCAAAAATACTTCGCCTGGAAGTTTTGTGCTAGAAAACGATTCTATACTAGAAATGCAAAGCGAATCTGTTCTGAATAAACCTTCGTCTAGTAAATTTGTAGCAAATAAACTTGTGGATGATGAGCTCATAGAAGATGAATTAGTGGGTACTGAAGTTGCAGAATGCGAATATATGGACGATGAATTTGCAGAAGACGAACCTCTAGAAATTTCAGGTTAGCTCAATAAAAGGTGTTTTTGCACGCCTTCATTCGTTATATATTAGATATTGAACCCTACATTTTTTTTCTATACCTACCAGTAATGGAATATCAGTATAATACTGGCTTCAAAAATACTTTGCCTGGAAGTTTTGTGCTAGAAAACGATTCTATACTAGAAATGCAAGGCAAATCTGTTCTGAATAAACCTTTGTCTAGTGAATTTGTAGCAAATAAACTTGTGGATGATGAGCTCATAGAAGATGAATTAGTGAGTACCGAAGTTGCAGAATGCGAATATATGAATGATAAATTTGTAGAAAACAAACCTCTAGAAATTTTAAGTTAGCTCAATGTTTAAAAAAGCACTGTATGATATGAAAGGTGTTTTATGTTTGTAAATGTTTTTTTTTTTAAGGTTTTAGTAAAGCCGAAAATAACAACGAAGTTAATACACCCACCCTTGAACTGAAGTTAGCAAGTCAAGATTTTATAAACTATCCTTTAAATCAACCTTTGGAGTTATTTGCTGGTGCTCACTTTAATTCCTGATCGATTGCTGAACACTTTTTAAAGGAATATGGGCGACAAAAAGGATTTGCAATTATGTGATACAGAGTTGAATATCATAAGTCTAAATTAAGCACATCAGGCAATCCTATGGTCAAAAAAAGAACGTACGTATGTGAAAAGGCTAGAAAGTACAAGCCTAAGAAAACGATGCCCATCGAATTACAACATAAGAAAGGATCAAAAAAATCTAATTGTAAATGGCATATCAATTTAAGTAACCAGGAAATTGGTAATTATGTGCATATTACTCTTGTTCACCTTATACATAACCATGATATTATTATAGATAATGCAAGGTTTACTACAGCATTCTGAAAATTCGATGAGTCTGTGATGAGTGAAATTGAACGTGCTGTTATGTATTGACATTGTGACGCATATACTATAAGAAATTTGTTACAGCCTTTATTTTCTAGTCAACTTTTTCTTACACAAGATTTATCAAATGCGATCCAAAAAATTAAGTATGAACAAAGGGTTGCTGGGTCTGATGCATCCAATTTATTAAAATTTTTACTAGAACAGCAAAAGGAGGATCCTGTAATGTTTGTTCAACCACTAATAAATTCGAATAGTAATTAGCTAAGTGGCATTTTTTGGATGACAGCAAATCAAGTTGCTTTATGGTCGTGATATTCGGATGTTGTTTTACTTGACAATACCTCAAGAACAAATAAATATAATTTTTCTTTATTATTATTCATTCTTGTTGACAATGATAGGAAATCACAGTTGGGAGCACAGGCTTTTTTAAGCAATGAGACTCAGGAAAGTTACGAATGGGTTCTGCAACAAACTTTAGATGCGACTAGTGCTGAACCACGAGTTATAATGATTGATATGGATCCTGCAATGGATGTGGCATATAAATTAATATATAAAAATTCTTACCATGTTCATTGTATCTGGCATCTTTCTCAAAATTTACCCAAACGGCTTAAATCCAAACTTGGAAATGCAAATTTTAAGGAGTTTATTTGTAATTTTTGGAGAATGCGAAATTCTTAGTGTTTTGATGTTTTTGAGCACCGGTTTCAGTTCTTACTAGAAAAGTATCCAAGTGCTAGTAAATATTTGAATGATTCGATTTATTCAACCTGATAATCATGGGCAAGAGCATTTATAAATCGAATGTTCATGGCTGGAATGCAATCTATACAACGTGTGGAATTAATTAATGCCATTATTCATAAAGCGATTGCTTCTAGTACTAGTATGTCAAATGTAGCTGAAGCTTTAGAACTTCGTATACAAAAAAAAACATTAAATAAAGACTTCATGGAATGAAAACATAAATCAATGAATCATTATGATTCATTTGTTGTCAAAAGGTTTTTCAGCAATGTTAATCATATGATTCAAAAATATTATACTCCACGGATTGTAAAAGAGATTCATAAACAAATGTGCAAGTCAGTTCTTTATAAGTGTGAAAAATTAGATATTGATTATGCCTATAAATTTGATGAGTCAGATCAAAATGAATTCACTGAAATAAATTGTAATCAATCGGTAAGTTATTTTTTTATTTAAGTTCATTCTACATTTATAGGTGCTGGTAAAATTTAATTTTCACCAGTGAGGTTAAATTGCAATTAGTTGCTAAATAAATAATTCATCTATTTAGAGTCAAGATCATGAAGCAATTGAAAATGTTGAAGATCATTATGATTTTTGGCAAACATATTTAAAGGCGCTTTTAAACTCTGTCTCAAAAGTATTAATTAATAAAGTTTGATGAATTATTCCATATATGTTATCAAACTCATACCAATATATTATTATGCTCAACGATGATACACATTTGTGTACATGTTTGTTATTAGTTTCTCATAGAATTATTTGCTGTCACTACTTTAAATTAATGGTTGAGAATCCGAATTCATTGTTTCACGTGATGTTATTACCGACAAGATAGTTGAATAATAGTGTCTGAGAAAATGTAGATTCTATATGTAATGAGCCATTTATTAGTACTTCTTCTCAAGAATGTCAACATAATCATGTGCAGAGTCTTATTCCTAGTCATCATTATAACGTTCAAGAAGTTCAAGTTCGATACCATCTACAAAAAAAAATGGATTATGGTCGTATCCTGGGTCATTTTAAGAAAGCATTAAATTATTCATTAGAGGACGATGATCAGAATAACTTGGATGGGCTTATTTTATCTTACATCGCTAAAAAAGAAGCAATGCGGGGCAATAAAGATCGGTCAGCACCTATTGAAACTCAAGATTCTAGTTGTATAAAATTGTCTGATGGGTGCGTTTATCATGTTGATAATATTAAAGATCCAGCAATATGCAGAGGTAAAGGTAGACCTCCCAGCAAACGATTAAAAGCCTTTAATAAAGAAACGTGTAAAGCAAGCAGTAGTAAAACACAACAGGCATCTTTTGAAGATGTTGAAGGCGAAAATACTGAAACCGGTGCAAGTAGACGCAAATGTGGGTTGTGTCATAAAACAGATCATTATGCACCTAGATGTCCAAATAAGGAAAATACTCAAATGTAATCGACAATTTGCATATTTGAATCCTGTTTACTTTATTTTTATATATGTTAGTTAAGTCTGAATTTAATTGGTAACTATATAGTACTTGTTAGCTATTTTTTTTAATTAGTTAACTCATATATACATACGTAGTGATGTATTGAAGGTGTTATGGTTTATATCTTAAATTTATTTGCTATAGGCTTATTATAGGTCTCTGTGAGTATATAGCTATTGCAAGTGTATAAGCATATACTTTTTATAAATGATTATCATGGCCGAAGATGAAATTTTGTGTTTGTTTTATTGAGCCTTACCTTTTTTTGTAGTGTTTGAGTAGATTAGAACATAAGAAATTTTAATAGGTTGTCAATAAGTAAATTTCATCTTTTAGCCTCAGACATTTTTAGGATTAGCCAAGATAATGATTACTTTATTTAAATGCGTGCTTATTACTATGGTTGGTCTTGAAATATGCGCTTAGGAATCATTTAACCAAAATTATATTTCTAATATGTTATGGTTACTTCTCTGATACGTTAGTTAGGTTAGTATATTGAATTAAACCATTTTAGCCTCTTATTTTAGTAATGATTTCCTCAGCGTAGTAGCAAGAAATTTCGGGTATGTAACGATTGAGTTAATGTTAGAGCTAGCTTTACTTTAGGATTAGGCGTTAATGAAGTATAGCAGTAAAATCACCTAAGAACCTTTTTTTTAGAGCACTAAAGGCGTTTCAGTTTCCTATGCAGATTTTTGAGTTATTGGTGATTTTTGGCAAAATATTTGCTTTGAATTTTCCTGATAGTGCTACATTATACCAAATAAAGATTAGCTATTTGTTATTTTGCTGTCGATTATCACATGTTCGAGATTTTTTGTTTGGGAAGTTTATTAGTAATATAAATATCATATGATTTATATTGAGGCGATATTTAGTATATATCGCATTACACGATAAATAAATTTGCTCTAATAACTAATAACTAATAAAATACAAATATCGAAATAATAAAATAATACTAAGATAAAATAATAAACTAATAAAAT